TGAAAGGGATTGGAAATGGGGGCGTAGGCTGGTTGATGTTGCTATTGGTTACTGGCCCAATACCTGGTTGATTTTCCCATCTCCTCTATTAGTGAGGCTGTACTGCAAGGGCTTTGAAGGATTTTTATGGAGATCCAAGAGGACGCTTACTTATGATTGTTAAGATATTGGGATTGGCAGGGATAGTCGCAGACTGTAGTTGACAATAAATATGATGGAAACTCAAGTTAATACAAAGAGGAAGAACAAAGAGAGAAAGAGAATACACCAGAACCAAGAGAGCATCAAAAAGAGAACAGTAACAACTGAACAGAACAAATCAATAACAACAGCAGTACAGATTGTGCATGCATCACAACTTATATAACACCTATAACCACAAGTATGAATAAGATAACCACAAACTAAAAATGCAATATCAATAATAATTAGGATAGATTGACAAGTGACATTATAATACTATTATTTCTAACAATGATATACCTTACTTTTCCATATAGAAAGTGATAGACTACCTGCAGGATGGTTTTTACTTCTACAACGCTATTTTGCAATGAGTTATAGGTACAACAAAATTTTTTCACTTTTCGCCCTTTTTCTGTTGTAACAAACTCATGCTTCATGGATTCTAATTCTAACTAGTATCATTTCATATGCAAATGAAAGCTCTTTCATATGATTATAAAGATCTTTTATCTTACTCTAGCTTGTTTTCAAAAAAGGGATTATAATGACAAAAAATACATTTTGTAGTTTTAGAAGTGCCATAACATTAACATAGTAAAATTATCTGTACAAAAGAAAACAGAATTATAAAGAGGAAACATTAGGCTTCTTGATGCATTAATTTCACTTGCATAGGAACACTTGTTCACGAGATATTGCTCCTAAAAGAAAGGAAATCAAGGGTAAATTGTAAAAAAAATTTCAACGAACCTCTGTCAGCCTAGCAGCAATACAAATGAATGGAGGTTGGGCTACGCCCACACTTCCGTTTCCAACCCCTTTCGTTTACTCTATTATCTATGATAGAGGGCATTGATGCTTTAAAGTTGTGGCTATTGACTAAGAAAGCAAGTCATTTCACTATATACATGGTTCCTTTTGCCTGCAGCATGTTGTGAACTTTGTGCTAAGTGTATTATAATTTGGCCATAAACTGCTAGCTCCTTAGCATTTTTGTCCAGGGAAAGTACTGTCAAGAACTCCAGGAAGTAAAAGGTCCATGAGAAGGGATCCTCTATTCCCTAGAAGTTTCGCTTTAAAAGTTGGAGCCTGTCTTAGCCGACACTGCAGTCTGCAGCATCAGCTACATTAAAAGTAATCCCCCACATACTAATATTAGGTGGGGTATAGAATATAGATATAAATTTGCACACAGTCTGAGCGAGCTTGCCCCATTTCTTGTTGAATTTTATTCAAGCTTTTGTAGTTTTAATGTGCTTTGCTGGATTGTTTTGCTAAGAGGAGCTTTAGTAAACATGCTTTAATTATAATGCTTCTTTCTATTTAGCAAACAAAAATCATGTCTTAGTAAGTATCTAGAGTATTTCTTTTTTAATAATAATAATGAAGGAATTTCTACATGTATAATGTTATTATGCCAAACAGTTTCAGTGAATCATACATGGCATTTTAATTCAGTACCTGCATCATTGTCATGTTGTCTGACTTTCATTAATTCAATGAATTTCAATTTTTGAGAGCCAAAATGGGCCAAGATCACTACTATAGTAAAGTTAGTCTGTCTGTTAGCAGATTACACAGGAGGGAGTTGTCTAATGTCAGTAGGAATGCATCTGCATATGAATATTTCTCTATATTATAATGGTAGAGTGGCTAGGCTTACTTCATATCTATTTTGAATATTATTTCGGTCAATGAGACAATTAGAGATACAAGAAGGGCATTGAAAATAAAAATCATTTGAGTGAAAGGAAAGAAACGAGTTGCACTGAAAGCGATGTAGTTTAATATGTTACCTCAAATATTACTAGGAGCTGCTGATGTTATTTTGACATTTGAGTATATGAATGAATTATTGTTCCATCAGTTTGAAAGGTCTATAAGCTTAAGCTGGATTTACAATATGATGCTAGTCCTGACGTTATGTTGACGCAGAAGTTAAATCTGGTTCAATTCCAGCGTGAAGTATGCGTCAAAAGGTCAAATTGCCCATGCTTTTGATTAAAAATTGACGGTATGTTGGCCTAGCGTCATATTGTAAATCCGCCTTTACTCTTTTTAAACTGGTGTAGATGATCAATTGGCACTGTATGACTATTCATGGCTACTGTTTAGAAATATTTAAAAAGTAATTGCACAACAATAGCAGGAGTCTTGATAGTGATAGCCTTGAAGCAAATTGTTTGCATTGCTCTTTTTCAATGCGCATTGACTTGTGATGCAATACATCTTTTATGTGACTGTTTATGTGATCACTGTCAGCACAGGTAGTAAAACGAGAGTTTAGCAAAGAGCTTTGGTAGTACATTAATGATTTTTCAGCATAATTTAAGTTTGATTTAGCTTATGCTCTCCCTACTCTACCAGCCCTCCTCACTCACCCATCATAAATCGCAAACAATTAGAATTTAAGTGCAGTGTGCACACTCATAATCAAAACAGCAACCAAACTGTTCACACATAAAAACTGGTCACAAAATATAGTTTCAAAAAATTTAGGAGCACATGACCATAGCACTCCAAGGAAAAAACTTTTGGATACGTAAAAACCTCTTTGAGGAAAAACCATACCTATGGGATTAAACTACTAATAAAACAAAGTGATTCAAAACATAATAATAATGATAATAATAATAATAATAATAATAAAGCACATATTAGAAATAATAATGACAATTAATTGACTACTAAAATTTTTGATAATAATACAATCCAGACTGCTCCTGTAGTTATCATATCTGTTTAGTAATCTCTAATAGAATGTTAACAAAATCATGGAAAAGCAACCAAGCTGTATTAATTCAAACTTTAAATAATGAATTTGGAGGTGGTTAATAGGGGGATAGAATGCTCTAGAAAACTTAAGTAACAACAAAAAATAACACTGAACTGATACTATAACTCATATAGAATGTACACCAAAGCAACTTAGAAGTGACACTCCTTTTATTGTTAACTACCTTATAATGTTTTTGCTTCCTCACAAATAAAGGTGTGTGCCCCTTCCTCCCTGGCATATTTCTTTTCTACCTTAACAACTGAACTGTTATCTTTACATCCATAACATTGGACACTTTTTAAATGCCAATTCTGCGGTTCACTTGTCTTTCAAATATATGCAAGTTCAATCTCTGTCACCACTATTGTTCCATTGTGGAGTAGTCCATGTCGATCAGTGCTACCTAAATACTTACTAAACACAAAGTGATGTCATGCTAATGGCATACCTAGGAAGCATATTTTTTGTCTAGTTCACTTTGCTCAATTGACATAAAATATATGCACCTCTAGTGTCCTGAAATATAGCAGATGCTGTGAGAGAACTCTTCAAATACCCACAATTTGCTTCCAGCACTAACATTCATTATTGCTATTTCATGTATAGCAGAGGGGCTGATGTAAATTGCAGTAGCTGATTTGGTTGTTTTTAAGTATATGTAATAACACCCCTGTGAGGCATGTATCACATTTATCAGCACCGAGCCCGAGGGCCGCAGGCTCGAGGGCAAAGTGCTGATAAATGTGATACACAGTTATGCCGAGTGGGGGTGTTATAACGAATTTATGTCCCTGCCTAAGCCAAACTTCACATACTGCACATGCGCAGGTGCCACGTGCTACTTACCACGACCCTGTGCAATACGAAGGAGGCAAGGTGATGGCTGCTCTCAAAAGATGAAACAGAACATTGTAGTACTTGCCACAGTAATGACAGCCCAAAGAAGACCCCCAGGAGTATCAAAATTAACTTAGACTGCCATAGAGAGTGTAAGATGACGATGCATTGATAATGACAAGTATGATCCAACCAGCACCTTTTTTGTAGGGCCTTCATTCTGTTTATCAATTATTTGTGGCCTATGACTGCTTTAGTCTTGCTGGTCCAGACCCTTTGCTGCTTCTGGCCGAATTCTCTGGCATCTTATAGACGTTCAATGATTCCAACTCTGTGTCAGTAGCTCAAGCAAAACGGCCGGCACTATCATGTCTCCATTAAACTTACAGTCCTACTTCTGTTAAGTGACAAGTTTATTTTTATTGTTCTTTTTTTCAAATCACTATATTTTATTATTTTAAAGTCTATTTCAAAGTTCTATTGCACTATGTAAACTGTTAACCACAGCAGTGCTTATATCAAACGTCAAAGGGATTTACCATGCCCTAGGGCAGTATAAGCAATTTATCAGCACTGCAGTGTCTTGAAGTTTGGCTTAGGTAAGATATAAAGTAACCTTATCCCTCAGTATGTACATGAGGGAATTATTTTTTGAGCTAGGGTAGTTTACAGTTAAAACCTATTTATTTCTGGTACCCTCTTTCTTCTTTAGTTCCTGTATTATAAGAGGGAATATATTATGAAGAAGACATCCTAAACATTGAAGCATAAAATGGTTAATACAGATTATGGATACTCAAAGTATTCATGGTCCTTCACACTTTGCATAATTGCTTGAACTAATTTAATAGGAAATTTTACTACATACCTGAAAAGTCTACTAGGACCAATAGTATAAGTGTGTGGAGTTGCCATAAAATCTCATGTATTTAGGAGACAATGAATATATTCAAAACCACCCCCATCAGCTAAAGGTGGAAAAGCTTCAAGTACTTTTACTTGCAATATCCCATTCACTTATTTTTGGGTATGTTGCTATATCCCAGCTTGATTTCTTGGGAGACTCTCCTTATAGAAGCATGACACTGGTTTAACATAAACTATTTCATGATGCTTGTTAAGCATACATTCTGTGGTGAAACAGTATAAATTTTGAGTAACTGATGTGCCTTAATTTACTATTTGTGAAAATGCGTAGAGCCAAGAAAAATTCTGCAATTTATATTTATAGAAAGTTGAAATGACGTATTTAAATAAAAATATTAATTTTTGTTGTCTATAGTATGTATGTGGGCAATTATATTATTTTTCTTTTATCCCGACACACACAATCAGTTCTGTCTCATCAGATCCTGAAGAAAATGCAAGACAGTTTGATGTAGAGATTTTCACTGTCACATCACTCAATGCTACTAATGCTTCCTCAGCCTGCTGTATGAAGAAGTAATAATAGATTGTCCTATATTATATTGAACCTTATTATTATTCAATAGAGAGATACAAGTGTAAGCTGAGAATATAATAATATTAGTTCAATTGAGAAGCCATCTACTGGTTTTATCTGAATCAAAGGTATCTGTGATATTCATTTTGTATACATGTACTCATCTTGCGAAATATTTAATTTTTGGAATGAGCATTTTAATGGTCTCTGTATGTTTTGAAATGAATTGAAGTTCTTGCAGGGTTTGCCACAAAGCATGCCATGTAAGCTAAGCAGCATGCACAGTATATAACATTTGAAGCAACTTTTAAAATTCATAAAAATCCAAATTTGATTTGAATCAGCTCAAATTTTGGGGCAAAATACAAGCATGTATATGCATTAGAAAAATTATTTCAATGGAGAATTTTCTCCTTGTGATTTTGTTAAATTACCCTGTAAATTACCCTGTATAGTACAGGGTCTTTGGCCCAATTTTTGAGCAACTTGACAATTCACTGACAAGAAACTACGTGTATGAGCACTATGTAAAAATCATATACAAAGCACTGAGTGCATGTATGCATTTAAATATTATAGTTTCATCAACTAAAGGAGATGCATGCATTGGTGTTAAGAAATAGGGGCCCTGATGAAATTCTTAACAATTGCTTCTTAAAATATTATGTATCATACTGAACAGATCTATGTACAAAAATATAAATCTGACCACATCAGAGGATGATGTTATTATTATATGATATACATGTAGATTTTATTTTGCTTAACAATGTTTAAAAACACATTCATTCATGCATGACTTGTGGGATTTGCCTCCCGGCCCTAATGCAAATTTTATTTCTACCGTATAAAACTATATATTCATATACATGTGTACAATAGCCTTGATGTTCATATAAGTTGGCATTTCATCACGTTATCTTCATGGATATTACAAGTATTAATGAAGTGAACACATGCGTACATTGTGTATTCTCTTTTTATATCGACATAAACTCATTCTATTTTTTTATTATTTAGGAACAAGGATAAAAAATTAAGACGAAAGACAGAGGGAGTAAGGTCAGTATTCCTTAATTTGATCTTATACTGTAACATATGTATAGTCAGTTAATAGAATGGATTAGCTTGATTGTGTACATTTTTGGGATTTTTAAATACGTTGTATATGAATTATTTTCACTTTTTGTGATCAGCTATAATCAAGCACAAATTACTTGTTTCTTTTATTCTACATGTACTAATACGTGTATTTATTAATGTTGTACTTGTAGTATACCACATAATTACTAATATTATATTTGTTTCTTGCTGTAGGTTGACAAAGAAGAGGGAATTTAAATCACAACTGACTGAAATTAGTTTCATGTTTATGTTATTAAAAACTAATTTTTCCAATTTAAAAAATATATAGTCTAATGTTATGCTCTTAAATTTAGTAGCTATAATAAAGACGTGATAATAAAACTAGTCCTCGCCTACGCAAAGCTGGGCGAGGCCAACAATCCATCTTGTATATATGTCTGCTTCACTCTCATTAAGTATAATTAAACTTGTATGGTTAATTAATGTGTCCACACCTAGAATGGCTTCAAACTTAGAGGTTGGAGAGAAGGTGAACAAATGCTTATTTCCTGTATAGGATTGTTGTTTGTTACAGATTGAATCATTTTTTACAATTACAAGGATTTATAGCAGTCAAGATGGTGAGTCACATTTTGGAACTGTGAAAATAAAAATGAAAGGAAAAGGTCAGTGTAGATCTACAATAATTACAAAGGCAAAATGTGCTAAACAGCTACTTCATGACCTGAAGTTTATACATACTTTTAAAGTAACTTTATAAATTTAATTTTGATCGGAATCAGCTCAAATTTTCTACACAACATAAAAATATGTATATACCGTCAAGAGTAGATACCGTATAGTAAGAAATTTTCATTGCCAGAAACTTTCGTTGTCTTTTCAAGCTGGCTTAGCCGCTTTACAAGATATTTTTGTTGATTTATTTTTGTTTTGCCTAACATAAATTTTCACTGCCACGTCCACTTAATTAGTGCCACATGTATGGTTTAAGATGAATGTCTTTGGTATATACAGAGGCGTCGCTGCCTAAGGGGCAGGTAGGGCAGTTGCCCCACCAATAATAAATAAATTAATGATAAAATTACTTTATAAATGTCTCCTTTATTGTCCGGAAGGGATTGAAATTATTTTGAAGATCCGTAGCCATTTTTTATTAAAATTAGTTATTAATTCAAGTTAATTCATTTAATAACCATCCAGGAAAGACTCAATCACTGCTTACTTCTTCACACACACGAACAACTGACTCATAATGTAGAAATACAGTCGGTAGTTAAGCAATTTATTGCTGGAAATGAATGCCATTATGAATTTTGGGCGTCAAAAGTTAATTAATCAATCAATTAATTGACCAAAATTGACCACACCCATCATGAATATTGGCAAAATTTTTCGCGTGCTTCACGTGTGAAAAGGTTATTTCTCCTTTATAGACCTATAGTGCTCTACCAATCTTCAAGGCCAGCGACGCCCCTGATATATGGTTACCACATTTATTAAGACATTCTGAACCCATCAGTTGGAGAATAACTGCCTTTTGTGTCAAGCCTGATGATGCCACAGATTGCTATGCCGTGGCTGTAGTGAAAAGAGGATTTGGTGTGGGTCAAAAATTTTAGTTAGATTAAATTTTGTCTAAAAGTTTTGTTCAAAATTTTGGCCAATGAAACAAACGAAAATTAGCACTAAATGAAAATTTTCTGCTATGTGGTATATGTATCAAAACATTGTGAAAATGGAGATTTTTTGTAGTCATTTTTGATAAAGAACCCTGTACTACCGTATAGTGGGAAATTTTTGGAGGGACTACAATTTGGTGATTGGCGAATTTTAGTTTGGCGAATTTATGACAGTGTAGCTATGTGCCATTGAGCATGCATATAGTGGTTCATAATGGCGGATTTTATTTTGGCAAATGGCTATCAAAACACCAAATTCACCAAATTTAATTCCCTCCAAAATTTCCCACTATACGGTATATTAGGTTTTTCTCTAGATTTTTGAGCATCTTTAAAAATTCAGTAAAAATTAATTTTGATTGAAATCAGCTCAAATTTTCTACTCAACATAAGAACATGGTATAATTATGATTCATACAAATTATTAAAGCAGAAATTTCTTTCCTAACTATTTATGATTAAAACCCCTGTTATTGTAGAGGGTCAACTCATCGGCCAGATTTTTAGCAACTTCATAATTTTTACCTCTGTATAATTTAATTCTGTGTTTTCCTCTTCCTAATGCTCTAACCTTTCTGTGCAGCATATAAATGTGTACTGTACATATCAGAAAAATTATAAAAGTAGAGCACTATATCAAAAATTTTGTTGGAAACCCTGAACTGCATGTAAAATGATAATACTTTTTATAGGCGACATTGGTTCAATATCGGATATAATACCATCAACTGGTCTTATGTTTAGAGAGACTCCATCTTCTTACAATTACTCATGGCACACAGCACCAAGAAGACAGTTCATAGTTAATTTGGATGCCAGTGTACAGGTAACTGTATCTTCTGGTGAGAAAAGAATTCTAAAAGAAGGAGAAGTGTTCTTTGTAGAGGATACTACTGGTAAATTAATCTATAAGCAATGAGAAGAAGAATTATGACTATGATGTACATGTATGAAAAAAGAAATTGCAATAGAGGTTTTGATTTTCTTAACGTGAAAGAATTTGAGTTTCATTTAAAAGCCACAAGGTTGTAACGATATCTTTATGTCAATGTACATTTTATTTTGTTCCACAAGCATGATGTCTGTTATAGCTCCTAAGCTGTAATCATCATTCTGTGTTAATTATAGGGAAAGGTCATTTCTCTGAGTCAGTGGATGGTAAAGTTAGACGCTCAGTTTTCCTGCCTGTGCCAGATGATTACAAGTTACCTACTGACTGCTAACTAATTTTAATTCATATTTTAAATTTTTTTCAATAGAAATTATTTTAATTTAAATTTAATCAGTCTAGATAGTCTTCTGGATCACGGATAGTTATCTATGTCTGGATACATTATTTGTGTCACTAGCTATAAAATTCAAATTAAAATAAAATCATTCATTTAGCCCTACCCACTCTGGTTGGAATGTGGATCGAATCATAAAAGAGCGAGATAGTTTCCTCTATTGTTGTTCCAAGGGTCTGGCCTCAGGCTCAGGACTGTGACTATGGCCACTTGTCAAACTTGCTTAGGCACAGTTTGAATGATGACGAAAGATTATGATTTATTTCTGTTCTCTAGTAGGTGTTGATGAGCTTGTTGATGTTATTGACTTATTGAAGAAATGTGGTTTTCCAGAAACAAAATGGCACGAGCTTGGACTGAGACTTGGACTAAGGAAGAATACACTGGATGCTATTGAAATGAAGTATCGTGGTGATGTGTATCGTTGTACGACAGAGTGCCTCTCCCAATGGTTAAGTAGAGCTGATAATGTTGACATTAGAGGAGGAGCCAATTTAGACTCACTGTCAGACACTCTTCGATCTATGAATGAAACTGCTGTAGCTGAGAAGTTACGTGAGTTAACCACAACTGTGTACTGTAATTATGTTTTTTTATCATAGAACATCATGTTCTTATTAATATTTTTAATAATCGTCATACTGTCCTGTCTCAGTCTCTTTGTGATTCTGTTGGTATTGCTTGGTTACTTTACGCTGAACATATGTTAACACAAGAAGCAGTTAGTAGAGTGGTGTCAGCGAGGCCCTCTATTCCTAATCAACGTGAGGCTCTATTAACTGCTGTCAAAGAAGCTGTTCAAACTGATCCCAACAGTTTACATACATTTGCTAATGTATTGTGTTCGATAAGTACTAATATACAACTGGGACAAGCTATACTGGATGATATTAGTGAGTACAATAAAATCATCATTTTATCCTTATGTTATGAAAATAGCTGTTTAGTATATCATAGCTATAGTGTTATGTGTTTATAGGTAAGTATTTTCCTACTCCTGAAGTTTGTTTGACTCCTGAAACTCTTAAGGATCATGATATAGTTTCTCAAGGTTATAAATAATATGAAATGATAATTTATTCATTAATATCTATAGATAATGCAAGTACTAATGAAACTACTAAGATACCAACTATTACACAATCTGGTATATATTTATTAAAATATAGTAGAGTAGCAGGTTATTTTTGTGGCTTGGGGCATATCATGATTTTAAAATCCATGAAGTCAGTGAGTTGGGAACTGTCAACCATCAAATTAATTGACACCACAAATTGACCCACAATGAAGTACAAATTATGATTAGAATAATCCAAAAATAACCTGCTCTATGTACTTTTTACACAATTGTCATACAATACTCTTAATGCCATTTTAAAAATATTACATGTATATCTGTAGGTAATACTAATACTGAAGGTACTAGTAATTCATCTTCTGTACCATTATCATCACAAGGTACATAGTATTGATATATTGACACCATTATTGCAAATGTTTTGTTGTAGTTGAAGTTCCTGTTCCTAAGCATTTATTTGTGGAGTTTAGCTCAATAAGAATTTCTTACACAAGGATGTTGTATAATGCTTGCAAGATTTTGAAAAGAAATTTAAATGTTGATGACATCAAGGAATTCCTCTCTTGTTATAGCAGTCTTAGTAAAAAAGTAGAACAGTGTTCCGATGTTTCTAGTATCCTTCGTCATGTTAAAGATGAGTGTTCACTGACTAATATTACACTACTTCATAGCATAGTAGAGGAAATGAATATCACTGAGGCAGAAGAACACATTGAGGCATATAAAGTGGAGTTGAATAAATTTTACAAATCAATCTCAATTAGTCTTTGTCTTGAAAAGAGATTCGATTCTGTTTCTCATCTTCAATGTGAAATAGCTACATTTATCTTTGATTGGGAGCCTGAGGAACATATGCTGAAGGATATTAAGGATATACTTTCAAAAGTATCTGGTAAACTACTGATCATTAAGTACATTGAGTCCTCCACTTCAATATCTGTCACTTGTTCCTTTCCTTTCTCTGATATTGGGTTTACTGTATTGAGGATGATGGAGAATATTCATATACTAATGGGACAAGGGCTAAAGAAACTGACTATTGGTAACTTAACACTATGGAGGAGACAAGATGTTAGACAAAAGGTATTAAAATGAATAGTAATGTTTGAATATTGTTTTTTTTGAATATTGTTTTGTATAGGAACTAAAAGAAAAAGATCAAGACCTAATGCAACAAACTGAGGTCAGTCCATAATATTTTAATTTTTGTTACACATGTCACATACATGAATTTTATCAAATAACTGATTTTTGCAGGTTATTTCTTATATTTTATTTAATGAAGCTGAGTACAGACTAAGAGATAGTATTTGTAGCAAAGAAAAGGTATGTCATACTACTGCACTGTGCATTGCAGTATTGCACTTATAATAGGAAATAATTGAATTGCAGCAAGAACTATCAATATTGGAAGGATTGACTATACCTAAAGTTAGCTTATTACACTATTGTGTATAGTATGAATATTTGTAAAAATTTTAATTAATTTTGCAGATTTTTGTCATATATTTTTATAATTATTCCAATTATTAGAAAGAATCATTGTCTGTTTCAAGTAAAAAAGTTGAGGTATAGATATACTGTACTGCTGGAAACATTTGCAGAGAATTAAATTTTGCGAGTTTTGAATGCATTCAAAGACCTAAATTTTAAATCCGTAAATAATAATATTTATACATTGCCTCTGTATTAACTGTTTCAATCTGCAATTTAAGTTTTTTCAGGAATTGCAAAATTTTTCTCTGCAAAATTGAATGGCTGTACAGTATCTCACTAGTTTGTATTTATCATAATAATTATTAATAGCAAGAACCACTTGATGAAGAGTTTACTGTATTGTGCTCTCAGTTTAATGAGTTAAAGGAAGAAAACAAAAAATTGTCAGACAAATTGTCAAAAATGAAGATTGATTATTTGAGGTCACTTTCTAGTAATAGTAGTTCAGGTTAGAGCATAGTAATATAATTCTGCTATTAATTATAATTTTTAAAGCTGTTAGCAAAGTGAGAAGAGGAATGGCCTTTGAAATTGATGACTGCAAATTTCATCTTGAAGCGATGACAATTCCAGACTATCAGCCATTAGTAGATAATAAAAAAGTAATAGAGCAATTACAAGAAAGAATAACATTAATGAATATGGAACTAATTATTGAAAGAGAATGCAGTGAAAAGATTATAAAAGGTTTTATTGACGTGTATGTGTCATTATTTTATTGTTAATACTTGAATAGGTTTGAAAGAGGTTGAGGATAAGAGACAAAAACAAAAAATGGAAGGAGAAATGTGTAAAGTAAGAGTAAGATAAGCAAAGTAGATGTACATGTATGTATTACTTTTACTGTACAGATTGAATTATATTGCAACCACCCTGTTACTGGTGAATCAATGTCAACATTTAAAGTACATAAAGATGAATTACTACCTGTAGTACTGGATAAAGCTTATAAGGTATTTTAGTTGATTTTATGCTGTTTAATCTTCTTTTCTCAGTTAATGAAATTAGCTCCTCATATACCTATTGAGAGATGTCGTTTAGTTAAATATAATTATTGGAATAATGTAATGCATAGGTCCTTTGATCTTGATCAGGTACATATAATTGTTTTATCTATTCTGTTGTTATAATTACAATTCAATTAGTTTCAGCATCAAACTATTGAACAGCTTATAGGGAGGGCTAGAGTTCTTCGTTCTTTTGAATTATTCTTAGAAACTCGTAAAAAAGATGAAACCTTTAGGAAATACAATGATGGAGGTTGGTATAGTTAGATACCATAACGATTACATGTGCATGTGTTGATGGTGTAGGTGTTAATTTAAAGATGTCAGTGGTTGATCTGTCAACTGGTGAAGTAGCACCAGCTAAACCAGTGAGAGGGGAAAGAGGCTGGGCTGTTGAAGAATTAAAACAATATATAGGAGAAGTAAGAAGAAGAATATACTCCCAATTAGTTAATTTGGTGGGGTTTTATTTTGATGATTGGCAATTTGCAAGTAAAATCACTAGTATTAATATTGCCAAGCGACACTTACTAATGCACATGTACATAGTAGCCAACAGATTACAAACCGCAAATTATATTTTTTGCCAAAATAAAATGCCACATACCAAAATAAAGTACTTCTCTCCCTCCCTCCATTGATCTAATCCTTTCTTTCTCTAGTTATTTAATATTAATTCATCATGTATGAGATTAGTAATGGAGATGGATCATTTCCAGGGTGTTACTGAGAGTGATGCTTTTATCGAGCTTAGAGATAAAGAAAGTACTTTAGGAACGATACTCTATGAAGGGAACAAAAAAGTCAGTTTAGCTACAGACAGCTTAGTTCAATAACAGTAGTAATACTATATTAAATAATGGCATGGGTTCAAAGAATTTGTATTATGTAGGACATGTGACAAGCATACACAATGAAGAATGATATTAATATTTTTATTGATCTAATACTTTAATATAGTATAATAGACAAAAGATGTGGCTTCTCCATTTACTGCAGTGGTAAAGTGTCATGTTAGCTTAGCATATGGTTTGTTAATAACTAGACGAATGTAAAACATTGAAGGGGCGAGCCTAAGCAAGTAAAGCAATGTACATACAATAGATCTTGACAGACTAACAATACTCATAGCTGTGGAACTTAAGCAGCTCAGAACTTGATGGAGCAGTGTACTACCTACATGTACCTTTGTCATCAATTCAAGTTGCATTTAAGAAGCATTAAAAATAGATAGAAATTGAATCAGTCACTACACAAATGATATGGCTAGATAGGCGACTGTAGCCATGTAGTCCAAGTTAGTTCAAGCTGAGACTGACATTCAAAGTCATTCACATCAATAAAAATGGCATATCTGCTTTCTTAACATTCCTTGCAGCATTTGGTCAGTAGGTATCAGTATGCGAGTG